GCGTCCCAGCTAACGGCATATCGATATCGTTCCCATCTTCCTATCTGGATGCTGGATCTCCCGAATCCCGGGGCCCGAAGTCGCGTCCTGCCCCTCGGGTTTCTGTTTGAAGCCTTCCAAAAATACGGGGCCAAAAATATTGAGAAGAACGGCATTTCGCTGATAAGATTAGCAGCCCTGCGATGGGAAGTCCAGGAAAATCACCCGGAGCCAGAATATTGAGAAAAGTCTGTTCGGATCGCGTTATATACATTGCCGATATAAATTTTTTAATTATGGGAAACTTATGAAAAATTCCTAGTTAGGTGTAGCCCAATCTTACAGTCGAATGAGAATTCTCTCGGAGCCTTTTCCGGACAAGGTCTCGGAGCCAATGATCCAGCCCGAGGAGATTGATTCGTCATCCGACGTCCTCCGTCGAGACGCTGGCCGGCTCGCCGGTCTCCGGTTTTTGCTCGCGGTCTTCGGACTAGTCTCCTCTCGCTCGGCTCGGCCATCGATTGGCGATATTCAATTAAATACGGTTTTTCACGTCGGAGTCCCGACTCGGTCGGCCGGCCGCGGCGAGCCGGGAATCCGAAATAAATCAAAGAAATGCACGTGGCCCTCAAAAGGGAAGAGGAGGGAAGACTTCCACCTCGACTTCGTGGAAGTCGAAATCTAATGGCCGACGTAATTAGTAAGAGCGCGTGTCCGCGTCCCAGCCGGACCGTCGACGGTACACGTGCAGACTCCCTTTGAACCTCCCGAAAGTGGATCTCTGGACCGAAATATATTTCCCACGTTTTTCGACATCCGCCAATTTAATAACCCATCTCGTCCACATCTTTGTAACCTTACAAAAATTATCCCCGGCGCGAGTCCAGAGTTCGGCAAACTCTCGATTGGACTTACCTTCCACTCCCCTTAAAGTTTCCAAACGTCCCCTAATTAATTACCAAAAATGCATTTCCAAAACATATTTCGCCCTTCCCGTTGTATATCTCCAAGATATATTTTCGACATTTTTCAATCCCCCTTCCATTCCGTATTATTTCTTAGACCTTTCCGAATGTCTCGGTAGGACGACCCGAAGAACGCAGGGATTCCGCAACTGCGGCGGAAAGCCTCGTAGGCGTTTAAACGCGCGTAAACGTCTCTCGGCCAATTGAATAAGTCGTACCGTCGCGAGTGTATCGTCGCGTTTAACGAAGCGAGTCGCCACTCGGAGGCGTCCGTCGGCGTCGCGACGACAGGGGTTACTCCGACGCGCGTAACGCCAGGCGGGAAACGCATCCTTCTCAATCCTTTTCCCATATTTCCCGTTTTTCTCTTTCCGTGGTATATTTATCCTGCGCGGAGGCGTCGACGAAGCGTCGCGGCGCGTCGGTCGCGGCTATGTGTCGTTGTGTTGTAAACTGTAGCCGCTTTGACAGACGCGGCTGGCGTGAAAACGCTCGCCAATTAACCCGCGGTGAATTATGCACCGCCTCTTTCCCACTAATTTAGCAGGTGACTTATGTCGTACTTGCCAGCCGACAAGCCACGTGGCGGCGCGCGCATGCGCGAGTCGCGGCGCTAACGGAGCGTTTTTCGCGCCCGGCCGGACATCCGGCCGAGGTCGCGCGGATTCCCCGCACTTGTTCCTTTGATGTCGACCCGGGACGTCTTAAGATCGCCGCCGAATGAAATATCGCTAGGAATGCAAGAACTCGGCCCTGCACCGAGAGCCATGCAACTTGCCCGCGTCTCGGGGCACTGGAAAAATATTTCATAAATCTCTCAGCTGACGGCTTTGAACGGTCAATTTTTTCCCGCATTAGAGATGAATTAATTTCATCGGTTACTAAATAAATCATTGGTCAAGAAATTATATAAATCCCACCGGTGATGATTTTGAACGTCGGGGGCTTTTTTCGGCTAAGAATGGGAGATGAATTAATTTTCTCGGTTGTTATCGATCATTGGTATGGTTTATTACGGAGAAAAATTGTGGAACCAAGTAGATGGTTAAAGGGTCCGCGGCTCTAATTACGGGTGATAAATTCGTTTCCGTCAAGCAGCACTTTCCGGGAGTTTCCTTCCGCGGGAATCCGCGCGGCGGGGCGATGATAATCTATCACTGGTGTAATGAAACTTTGACGGTGCGTCAAAACGCGAGTCTGTTAATTTTTCATACTATTTCACGAGCCCCCGTCGCCGGCGAAACTCTCGAGCCCGGCTTCGTTGAACATCCACCACCGGTCCGGCAAGTTGTCTCGACGTAACACTCATTATTCAACTTCTACAGAGGTATGCCTGTGTTATATGTCCCGGTGTTACGTAACAACGTACCGAAATCACGAGCGTATTCGCTCTCCGGGAACTCCTGAGTGCGTTTACACACATGTTCGTTCGCATTGCTTCATCTCCGAAATCACCGCGGAACGGATAGAACGAATATCCAGCAAACTAAATTAACGATCTCGAAAAAATACGGAAATAACATACAAGAGGCGGAGAAAAAATTCGGGAGCGAAAAATCATTTTCGAGAGCGACAAGAGGCAATTACGAAGGGAAGTGAAATAATGAACAATCAAAAGGGAATAATTTACAGTCCGATGGGGAGAGCCAAGGGAGGGAGCTCGGCCGAAGTTTTCCCGGTAAGTGGATTTTATACGGCGCAGATTTCGTTTAATTAGCCGAAGATGTTAAATAAGAGTCGAAAATGAGTTAACGGAGTTAAAAGGAGTTAACGGCGAGGGGCAGGCAGAGCAAGGCTGGCAGGACGGCCCCATATTTACGAGGGAAACTTTGCTTTACGCCTGCCGGTGTTTTAACTTTATCGCGAGCGAAGTATGATTTTACGAGCCGGCCCCCCACCACGGTTAAATATGCTCGCGTCGTAAAATTAACAGCGTTTCCATAAAGGAATCCGCTGTTACATTAAAACTTGATAAAAGCCAATAAAGCATCGCGTTACGGTTAGTTTAGTGCTCCTTCCGCGAGAGTCCGCGCTCTCTGCAGGGGATCGGGGCCTTGGCGAGTTACAAAATTCGGCAGAATTTCAATGAATCCGGTAGGCCAATTCCTTTGACGAACAAAGTGTAAAGATTGGATGTCCAAAAGCGGAGAAAAGTTGGGTTTCCATGGCGGCGTGGGTCGGTGGGGGGCAGTAAATTGGGCCCAGTTTCGGCTTGGACAGGTAACAGGACCCGAAACTAGTCCCGGGATAGGGCCCAGAACTAACGTCCGCGGCTGTAAAGCCTCCGAATCAATAAAAGCAGAAATAAACCGAGGCGACTCTAATGGGTTATGTTAATGTCCAGTGTGTGTCCTCATAGGATCTGCCGGGTCCAGTTCCCTGGAGGGGCGGGATCCCGAGGACGTCGTCGGAGGCTTATTCCGCTGCACTCGCCGGGCCCTGGATCAGGTCCCACGATTACATCCCTACAAATCTGTGGAATGAGTTCGAGCTACCGGTGATGCCCCGGGAGGGCCCAGATTCTCCCTCTCAAGAGCCTTTTAACCCCAAGAACCCTCGACCCTCCACCCTCGAATCTCAACTTTACCGACAACAACGTCGTCTCGGTGGCGCGCGACTGGCGTTCTTTACTCGCCCCACCACGAGAGCGGGTACAGAAATTTCAACAAATGGCCGTAAGAGGAACGTTTTCTTGGTCGCGGACAAGTGGCTCATGGGATGCTGGGAGAGTCTGGAAGTGTCCCAGCTAGAGCCACCGCGGATTTAGGGCCCGACGTAACTCCGGACCTAGAGGACTCCACCTTTGAGGGTTTATGCCGATTCAGGAGCGAGTTGATTCATGAAGACGCGCTGGACCTCCTTGGGCCCTGCGGGACGGGCCAAGGCCGTGGCGGGTGGTCCGCGGGTTGATTTCTTGTTTCCCCGCAGCGGCCGATCCGGCCAGGATCGGCGGCGGGCCTGCATTCCCGGCAGTCGTGGCGGGGCCGCGGCCGCTGCGCCGCCGATTGTCGATTTAAATGTTTACTAATAACCAGCCTTGTCCGGCAACCACCCAGAAGTCGGGTCGCTTTGCATTTTTATAAGTACACATCCCGCGGACCCGTTCCGAGAAAGTCGTCCGGCATTCATATTCATCCCACGGAGCGGGACAGAGGACGGTCCCGGTTATCGTCCCGTAGGTCGATCTCCGCGGATGCATTTCCACGATTATCCCGCGGAAGCCTAGCCGCGAATAAAAAGAATAACCGGGACACCGCGACATCTCGACACCGCGGAGGAACTGGTTCCGCTCGGCGGCCATTTGCAATCCGCGTTCTCCGGCACCTGCGACGCTTCCCAGTGGACGCGTGTTCGTTCCCAATCCTGGGTTCCTATTTTCCAGTTGACCCTAATATTTCGAGTTACGTGACAAATCGAGTTAATACCAATTTCTTTTTCTTCGCATCGTTGCGAAAAATTGTGCATGGTCGGGGAGTCGCGTCCTTGGTCGACATCCGACTTGTATACAAGACCGTTGACTTCGCCTGCCTAAAGTTGGTCACGTGAACTCGATAATCGAGTCCCCCGACGGTTAACGAGAGATTAAGGTCTCTCCGGCAGGTGTTCTCCAAGGAATCAAGGCCAGTCGTCATCGTAATGGTTCATTTATTGCGAAGAGGGCCCGCGGCCGTCAGCGACCGCGTCTCGAATTTTGGACATGAATGACTAAAACGGTGATGGCGGATCGTCGCGCGACCTCCGTGACGTGTGATATGTTGGGGGCCCGTCGGGGCCCATGGGGCGAACGGTTCTCCGGATCGCGAGGGACGCCGGGTCCCGAAATGGAATCGTGCGCGAGGAGCCCCGACGGTTCCCACCGTGAGCGTCCGTCGGCGTCGTGGCAGCCATTGCGGTCCTCCCGTCCGGGCCCGACGTCGCTCGGCGATAATTCGATTCGATTTCCCACGTTGGACCGACGACCAGCACGCACCGCTAGACGCCGGCAATTACCGAGGAATAATTGAAGTTACGTCACGACGTCGAGGCCGGCCGCCTCTCGCGGCGCCGTTCGCCGTTCGCCGTTCGCCGTCGACCGGCTCCGCACCTCGTCAGGGCCGACCGAGTCTCGACGTTAATTCAATTATAATATAAACATTGCAATAACAATAATAATTAGTACGAATTACGGGTCCGGATATAATGATGCGGTGCCTACCTCTACGTACAGTACATACACACCGGGGCCCCGTCGAGCACCCGCCGGTTCTCTCCTACTATTTACAAACGCATAAATAATATCAATAACCGTTAATAATCGTTACGTATGTATAGTATTTATACGTGCAATACGGGTTTCCAATTTCCACGCTCGATATCTCGACACTAGGTTCGCGTAGTAGTCGCGATACTGCATCTAAGGACAGTTCGGTAAATAGGGGGGTGGTGGTCTTCTAGGGTGCCCCGGGGGGGCGGTGCCCCCCTCCGAGTGGTCTCCTCGCGTATCTCGGAAATCTGTACACTAATTACAAGGTCGGAGTCTCTTATTGTCAGGCACGCGCGCACAGCTCGGGGGATCACCTCTCGACGGAGGGTGGAGGGGTCGGATCACACCCTGCCGGGGGACTTGAGCTCCCGGGTCGGGACTCAGGGGCGGATGCCGTTCCCGGTGAGCCGTTCCCCGTGGAGGTCGGTCGCGATCGGCGACTGGTCGCACCCGTTCGAGGAGGCCGTGGAGGAGGAGGACGGGGACACCCCCGAGGGCGCGGCGGGGAGGAGGACGGCGGGTCCGGCGGCGGCGGCGCCGGAGCCGTTGATGGAGAACGGCTTGCCGGAGGTCGACGACGACGGCGAGGAGGAGGTCAGGATGCCGGGCCCGCTGGAGGGGGGCATGACGCCCCCCAGGCCGCCGAGGGTCCTCGAGTAGGTCTCCAGCAGCGACATGTCCCCCGAGCCCAGGTGCGTCGTGCCGTAGAAATTGCGGTAGAAGTCCGGATGCGGCCTGACGAACGGGGCCCCCGGGTGCATGGCGGGGTGCAGGGGGTGGTGGGGCGGGAGGCGACTGGCCAGAGGGCTGACCAGCTTGCCGCCGGACCCGACGCCCCCGCCGCCGGTCCCGTAGGGCAACCCCAGGCCCGGGACCCCGGGGGTGGGACTCTGCTGCTGCTGATGCTGTTGCTGGTCCCCGTCCTTGCTGGCCATGTCGGCCAGCGACCAGATCCTCGGCTTCGCGGCGCCCCCGCTGCCCGTCGAGGAGGCGGTCGTGCTGGGGGGCAGGTGGGGGCCGCTGGGGGAGGTGCTCTCCGGGGAGGGGTGCAGCATCCGCCCGTGGCCCTGGGCCACGTACGCGGGATGCTGCAGCTGCAGAGGATGCCTCGGCTCCCGCTGGTCGTACAGACACTCCGGACTGTCGGGTCCGCTGTCGGCCCTGGACTCGCTCCACTCGCTCTCCGTCCGACCCTGAAGACCCCCGGTGACGCTGCCGGTGGAGTGCAGCAGGTCCAGCCGATGCGCCGGCCGCTCCCCGTCCTCGCTCGACCCTGTCCCCGAGTCCTTCGAGTCTGCAAGGAGAGGCCACTCGGCCGATGTTAGCAAAGGAAGTCTCTGGGAAGGACCCAGCGTCCCGTCGAACCCTAAACCCGAAGACCCTTACCCAGCCGATCCTTCTCGTCCACGCTCTTCCGTCCGCTGTCGTCGTCCTCGTTGTTGTTGTCCTCGTCCTCCACCCTGTTCCTAGGCTCCCAGGTCATCTTGTTCTCCTTCTTGAGCCTTCGCCTCGCGTTGGCGAACCAGGTGGAGACCTGCGTCAGCGTCATCTTGGTGATGATCGCCAGCATGATCTTCTCGCCCTTGGTGGGATAGGGGTTCTTCTTGTGCTCGTTCAGCCACGCCTTCAGGGTGCTCGTCGTTTCCCTGGTGGCGTTTTTCCGCCGCGCGCCGTTCAGGTCCATGCCGTAGCTGAAACCAAGCACAGGTAGAGGGGTCAGACCACGCACCGAGACGATCCGTCATCCGCGGATGAGCCTGATCGATGGACCCGAAGGGGTGCGCGCTCCCCGAGGCCGGCGGTCCTCCAGCTGGAAATCGCTCCGGCGAAATCCCGAAAAAACCGAGGGAAGCTCCCGATCCCGAAGGAGCGGCTCGATAGCGACAACCCCGCTCGGAATTACGGAATCACGGAAACGCGAGCGCGCCGGTGGGCATTACGCCCCCGCCGGACCAACCCCATGGACGAAGCCATAGGACCCACCCCACGGGGGGGGAGTTCCATGCCGGAGTTTCTCCCAAATGGAAGGAGCACGGGACAGGGGCCCCTGCGACCCCGAGTAAGGGCTCCGGACTCGTGTCGAAAGAAAGAGCTCATCCAATCGCGGCAACTCGTTACGCCCCATACCCATAAAAGTCCCGACTTCCAGGGCGAGCAGTAAGCGGTACCAGTTTTATCCCGAGGCAGATCTCTATCTAACGGTTTAAGCTGCCGACTCCCTTTCCGTCCCGCCATTTCCCGGAGCGGTCCCGCACCCGGCCGGCCGACCCTCCGGGATCCCATTACTAAAAGACTAACCCTTATCAAAGATTAAACTTCGGTATAACTGCTGAATCGACGGGATCGAAATTAAATTTTCCTCCGCCGTTCCTCTTAACGTCCCCTCCGCCCCCTTCCCCTTGTCCCGGAGCCGGTGCCCGACCTTCCTTTTTCCCCGGGACCGCCGAAGATAAAGAGGGACTTCGGATCGGGGAACCAGCCCGAGTCCGACCGGACCTCCTCGGAACGGGTTCTCCTGGGTAGAATCTCTTTCCCCCGAAGACGCATCCCCATCCTCGCCGAGAACGAAGTCGAAAAGTCCTATACGACTTTCCTGGACGATGCATGCCCTCCCCGGAACGATTAATCGAAAATCAGCTGATCGGGCTACGAGGCGTTCCACGACTTGCTCTTTGGTTCCCTCTTCTAGGAGGTTATTTCAAAACGTATCGTTCCATCCCAGGTGATTAGGGTAAAATTTTTAATTTTTCGCGATAGACGGTGACAGGACGCGGACAGTGGCCTCCGGGTGGCGACGCCATTATCGAGCTCCATCTCACCCCTGAAGGGAGGGGCCGGGGGTGAGTGACGGCCCCGGGTGGCGGGAGATGGGAAATTAATAAAACTGTCACTTATCCTGGATGCGCCCCCGGGTTCCGGGACGTCTGCGACCCCGTCTCGCGCCCCGCACGCGGATATATCGCAGCGGCCTGAAACGATGCGCTAAACATTTCAATTTGGCATCAGCCGGCTCCGGGCGGATGTACATCTCCATCCGTCCTATCCGGGCCGCCCTCCCCCCCATCCGTCCGGCCGGCAGGGCGAGAAACAAGGGGACGGAGATATACAGAGAGGGCGGGCGCGAAAGGAGAGAGGAGAAAAACTCCGCAGGAGGGACGGAGAGAAATCCCCCGCCGGGCGGGCGGCGGGCGGGGGCTTAACCCCGGTCTGTTTGCGAGGAGCAAATGGCGTTCTGCAGTTATTTTAAAATTCACCCGGGGAAGGGGGATCGGATTAAAAAATCAGAGTGGAAGCTTGTTTCTCTTGATAACAGCCAGCCGAGAGCGGGAACCGCTGCTTCCCACCCGCTCTTTCCGCCCTCTTCCTTTCACCGTCCATCCTGGCCTCGCCGTCCGTCCTCGTATTCCGGATGCGAGGGCACAGGAGATACGAGGGGACGAGGAGGAATCCCTCCGTGGGGGGGCTAAATGGACGCGTAGATCCGAATCCTACGAAACGTCCTCTCCCTCCGCCTTCGCTCTCGCATGATTCCACCCCGCGATCTCTGCCTAGCCGGTTCATCCTTAAAAAATCTCAAGTTTTGGAAAATCATAACTTCGTCTTTCTCTCTCTTCTCGTTCTTTATTACGTTCTCGGGGGAATCCGGGGATCCGTGAATTACCGGCGTAAGAGGGTTTCGTTAGATTTTTAAAAAATATTCGGGTAATTCCTGTCATTTATAGGAATAGGTCCCCAGCATCCCTGGTCCATCTGGACCGGTTCAAGGTATCAAACGTCCGAACGCGATCCCTTCATCCGCGGAATATCGGCCTATTCTCTCATGTGCGAGGTGATCGCATCAACCGGTTGTTTCCATGGCGATTGCTAATCGGGACTGGGGGCATCCGCCCCAAAACCCTCCCCACCGCCACCCCCCTGGGGGCAGAGTTCCTCCCGTAAATCCTGCCGAACTCTCGCAGCGGGCTCCATCTGCATTCCGCGTCTCGACGGCTCCGCGTCCCTTTTCCGCCGGTCCCACCCCGCCTCCCTCTTCGGCTCTTCGGCGTCGAGCGCTCGTCCGGCTCGCCGGACCCACCCTGCTCGCCCCATTCATATTCTATATCTCCGCCGACAGTCGGCCCGCCAGGACGCGAGGGGGATGAATTTTTCACCCGATCTCCCGGCTCTCCGCTGCGAAATGACACGCGATAACTGCCTCGTTATTCTTTTCGGGAATTGGCTCTGCGAGCGCCGACGCGATATGGGAAACGGGTCCGCCTTTTTCCGGCTCTCTTTCTGCCCCCTTTCATTTCTTTCCCTCCGGGTTTCGAGGGATCCTCGCAACGAAGAGCGACGAGCTGGGAATTAATTCGAGCCCCTTGATGTGTCACGTTATATGATTAGAGATATTATATAAGTTATTATATTACGATCACAAGTAATATTAAACATGAATATGGTACATATTGTGGTGAAAATGCCGAATCTCATGGGTTGATCGCCATTGAATGGATTTTTTTTTTTTTTCCGGACGGAGACTGGCTCGGTAGAAAAATATATCTGCGCGCAGCTGCCGATTTCTCGTTGCCAAAAAATTTCGCGTCTCGCCCCCTGCGTTTTCAGGGACGGGAAAGACGCGTTTTATAACCGGTCGAAGCTTAGTCGTGTCGCCCAGCAAATACCGGGGCTGTTCTCTCGAGGAGGGCAGGTGCGCGTCGCCGACTCCGCCCCTCGTTACCAGTTACGGCCGAGGGGTGATATCTAACTTCCACCAACCCTCATTTATACGCCGGGACACGGCGTTACGTTTTATCAGCACGAAGGGGTGGCCATTCGGTACACAGGTTGGCGCCATCTTCCACGCCACCGTGGCCGCCCAGGCGCCCAATTTAATTCCTGCCCCCCGACGTGAGCCCGAGAGCGTCAAAAAATCCAGATTTCCCCCCACGCGTTCCTCCCGTTCCTCCCGTTCCTCCCGCGGCGTCGTTTAACGAATGTTCCGTCGTGCAAACTTCGGTCCCGGGTCCGCTCGTGAATCGATTACGAAGAGATTACAGGGGAGGGAACGGTTCCCGATTCCGATTACCATCCTGTGAGTCCGGATGGATAAATATTTGACGTTCGGTCGGTCGCACGTCGAGTTACCTTCTCGCGATCTTCGGTTTACGGGGCGCTAATCGGAGTTTCGGTATCGGCGCGAGATGAATCCCCGAGCCGATAAGACGGACACCCGATCCCGTTTTTGTCGATTAATAGTCGGGTCCCGTCAGGCGCGACACGTGTGTATTTGCACCGTGTATTACGATCCCACGCAACACTGTAGTTTAATGCATACAACCTCGTATATCCGGCGCGGATCAACGCCCAATCGTATCTTCAGCCGGACAAAGAGTTATGACAAACTCGCCAGCGTTTACTATCCAGACCGTAAACCGGCGAAGTGCCGGACCTAAAAGGGACCGCGATCAATTTTTCCCCTATCCCTCCAGTCCCCGTTCCTCTAGAATGAGAGTCCCGGCGCATCCCGAGGGCAGTCGGCCGATCATCCGGAATTTGGGAAAAGATCGGAGGACGGAATCGAGGCCTTTCCCGAGGCCCCTCTAGCGTCCTCGTCTCGGGATAAAATCAAGCCAGCAGATTATTGTAGCGTGACCGGATCAGCGTCCGAGGACTGGATCGGTATCCCGGGACCCGATAGACATCCCAGGACCAGATCAACATTACCGAGCAAACACCCCAAGCCCGAAGTAGGCAACAATCGATCACTCCACCTCCCAAGACCGGGACCCCCGATTGACCCCAGCCGCCCAGTGGCGACCTTTTTCGAGTTGTTCCTCAACTTTGCGACTGTCCCCGAGTCAATTAAGTCCAACACGCCTGTCGATGGGCGTCGATCTCTAGGACGGATCTTCGGGCCATTAAGGCTAACGAGAAAACGCTGGGGAACACGTCCGCGGGTTGCGCGCCCTCCTCCGCCATCACGACGGGCGGCGTCGTCGATCCCGGCTCCGATTCCTGACAGATCCTCGCTTAAAATGCGCCTCGACGCCTCGCGTCGACACGTGGGAGGCTCCTGGCCCTCTTTAGGAAGTGTCACCAGGAGGCGCTCCGCAGGATTCGGGCCAACCCTTGCGGCCGATCCGGCAAAAAGCTTCCCCGGCCGTGACCAGGTCATTAAACGGCCGTACATCATCCGGGGACGCTTCCCATGGTGGGTGACACTCGGGACACCCTAGACCCCTGCCTAGTCCGCAGTCATTAGCCACAAATATTCCCTCGCAGAAGGGAAACCGGCGGCTTCCGTCCTGGGATAGTCGCCTTTTCCCCTCTTTCGTAACGCGCGCGCCGCTCTGTTCCTGGATGTACTTTTCGATGCATTTCCGTCGAGCGAGCGTTCGACCGATCGGCATCCCGCAATCCGGACGATGTCGCTTCCGTATTTATTCCGGGGGACAAATAATAACAACCGCGATACTTGCATCGGCACCAACGGGAAGTCAATAACGCCGCCGACACGTGGCGGATGCTCCATCGGAGTCGTACATCCGAGCAATCGTATACTTAAACACCTCATTTGCGTATCAAATGGAGAAAGCGGTGAATTTAGGAGCGATTCCGACCGAAATCGGAAAAGGAAATTAATAGGCGGAGAAAATGCAGAAATGGGGAAACAAACGCGTGGAGGACGAGTTCCAAGATGACGGCGGTGGGTGACGCGGGTCAGGCTAACCGATGCAAGGGCAACGAGCACGAATAATCGCGAGACGGGAATCGAAATTCTATTGTTACCGGCGATGTTATACCTTGTAATCGAGCATGCAACTATGAATCGTGGGAACCGCGTCCAAGAAAAATGGCGGAAGGGGAAGAACAAACGACTCGCGCATAACAATAAGAGCCGATTTCGACGCAAACGAAGACAACTGCGCATCGGCGACGATGACCCGTGTTCAGTTTTGAAAGTGAAATCGGGCGATTAAATCCTATCAAGATCCTCGGCGCATATCCGGGCGGCCACGTTTGGCCTGGCCCGAGGAAATTGCTTTCACCTTGTTAAACCGAATATTAGGAATCCGAGTCCTCGCCAGAATATTAATAAGTAATTCACAGTACGGCGATGAGTGTCTACAGTTGGACAAGCTGTGCGCGCGTTTTCCTATTTATCGGTAGCAGCGCCGACGAGGCCGCTTTCACCCTGATAAAATATTTATTAAGAGGCTAATTAACAAGCATTACACGGAGTTAACATCGAGCCTCGCTAGATCGCTATTTCGAGTCGGGCATCGCAGGGGCCGGTTATCGGCGCCCAGGGAAGAGCGTAGAATCGATAGACTAGACAGATGTAAGGAAAAAGCGGGCCGATAGAGTGTGATTTAGAGTGGCCTCTGACCCGTGGCCGTAGTCACGCCGCCATTAAGTTAACTCGCTTAATCAATAAAAGAGCATGTGCTCTCCCCCGAAGAGCGGCCCTCGCGCTAATCTGATTCAATTAGCAGCCCTCGCATTAGTCGCCGCGACGAAAGAGACCGACGCAACTAGCCGGGCGATTAATCTTCGTTATATTCCCGAAGTTGCTCAATTCCCACATTGTTGGGCGTTTTATCGGCCCGCCGTGGGTTTGCGCAACGACTCCTGGGCCGGACAATTGGTAATTGGTCCCTAACGATCGCCGATACGTCCGACAGCTGATATCAGTTGCGAGGCCTGGCTTATCGGTACATTCTTTCGCAGGTAATTTCCGAAAGCATCCTTCCCTCCCCTCGAATAGCTCCGTTTAATCGAGGAACCCGAGAAATTGCGGCAATCCGAAAAACTGGCTCGGTAAGTGAGGCAGTTAAGGACACGACGACAAAAGGCGACCCTTGTCCCGAGGCACCGAGAAAGACCCTGACCAGGGACAACGCACTTGGCCGTGACTTTCCCCGACATGTGGAAACACTCGAGGAGACTTTCTCCGGTCTCTGGACAATGAGTCCGTCGTAGTTTGCACCCGCAGGGTGAAAAATCAACGAAAATCGGCCGGGAGATGCGGGAAGAATGGACTTGGCGTCGCACGTGGACGTCCAACGATGGATGACGCGACTTGGAGTAATTGTTTTCTGTTCCCAGTCGATCGGTCGAGATCGCGGAAGGCCTCGGTTACATTAGAATATTTTTGTCGCGCGGACACTTTTCCGCGCATTCGCGATAACGATGGATTTATTCCGGTACAAGGGGAATATAAAGTATTACCTCAAGCCATCGTGATTAGACGGCGGCCAACACGGCCGCACGCGCTGATACCGAGGAAGCGCGCGGCAACAGTTGCGACAGGGTTTCGAAGTTATTTGCAAACAGCCACCGCGTCCCTCGTGCGTTTTTCTTTCTTATAAACAATTTCGATTATTACCGAACGCGTCGAGGATGCAAAAGGAGCGAATCAGGGGTCAATGGTAGCCACGACGACCCCCGTTTACGAGGCGGTACACCGCCGTATTGATCAGCCACTTGCGCCTCGTTTAATAACACTCCTCTCTTCGCGACCCTGGCGTTAATTACGAAGCTACCGAGTTTAGTAAGTACCTCGGTCGTGGACTCGCGGTTATGTCAAAATCGAATTAAATAAACGCCGTCACGGCTCCTTCCCCGGGTCGTTGACAAGAGCGCCGCGCTATAGGGCGGCTTATCGAGCTTGGATATCGATTCAGAGGGGTGGATCGTCATTTTGAATTCAGTTTTCCGAATTCGGCATCGACGCGTCGGCCGATCGAACAAGAGACGCGCCCGTAATGGCGCATCAGCGGCGGATCGCGTCTCGCATATACGACGCACGATCGCTTAACACGGCTGACACGGGTGGTTCTTACTTATTGTCTACCCTATATGTCCCCGGAAGCAGGGCCAATCGCGCCGGAAAGAGGAGACCGTTAACCCGCACGATCCCGACCTCGCGTCCGCGCATGCCGACGATGCATTATTGCCTTTTTATATGCTCATGTTAAACGGCCGACACGGCCGCGCATAATATCGACCCGAGGACTTTCGGCACCACGATTTACGTAATTCCGGGTTTCTCAAGGATAACCGAGTGCCCTCAACCGAAAAAAAAAAAATTAATTCAGCTCCTTTAGGAATTTTCTAAAAAACCTCGTCATTGACAATGAACGGTCCTGGGGGGATGTCGAGATATTAGCGCAGAGAAATTTAAGGAACTTCTTGGCTAAAGTGCCGATTTAATTGGATTTTGATCGTAGCTCAAGTAGGGTGGAAGGGTGCAAGAGTGCGACTCGACGGTGGGAAGCCAAGATCGGTTTTTGCCCATCTTCGACCCCGAAGAGAGGTCCTCGGGCCTCGATCTGCATTGGTGGGGTATTCCCAGGGGTATCTTTCGTTTGTGACGTAAAGACGAAATAGGTGGTCGGTCCTTTCCGGCCATGTTTAGCGGCAGTTCCGGCGTCCCGGCGGAAGATCGGCGCGGTGGGTCCGGCCAAAGGGACCAACGACGTGCGACTTGTGACCGGACCGAATGGATGCTAAGCAAGCTGTAGTACCCGGTCGCTTCCTTGCATACGGAACGGGCCCCACCGGAAGTGCGTCACCGGTCCCAGTTTGTTCCACCGTGTGTTCGACTCGGGCCTGATACCATACCCGGCTTAAAGCCGCTCGCGACGAGACGAGACTCCCAAACGAGTTCTCGCTGATAAATCTACACGCGTGCGCGGTACGACCGATGTATGCGACGCGTGATTGCGGCGAGTTGCTAGGCCGACCGATAGGAGTCCTTCCGATCGGCGCTAATTACGCGCCGACGGGCCATTTTTATCGGTCTTATTGTCTCCCCCCTTTTTAATTTGTTGCGATGGATACACCCTGTATCAAGAGCCAGCCGAAAGTGGGCCGGATTGCCCTGGGCGATAGGTGCCTATCGCCTGCAATCAGCCCATCGCTCTCCATCCACGAAATAACTCGAACCAACACTTATCGACACCTTGAACACCTGATTTAGACTTCTCGGGAGCTGACGTCCCGTTTATACGTGGAAGTCCTCGTCATCGGTCCGCAGTCCTTTCCGTGGCTGGTATTTCACCGGCACTTAACGATATTGTCCGTACATTGGTACCGATTTCGTTTACTGGATTCTAAATCTGGTTCCCCAGGTGTCGATTAGTCGACGGTATTCGCTGCATTTTCCGCCGTTACGATTTCATCTCCGGCTGGTATAGTGTAGGGTTTCCGTGTGTCCTAGTTTTTTAGTCTCCCAGGCTTAGTAAACCGCGGTCTAGGTCACGTTTTTCATCAGCAAGGCGCTCAAAGTTTACCAAGCTGGACGTAGGAGGTGCCACTTGACTCGCCAGAAACTCAAGACACGACGAGGCGACAGTCGCGGGTCAAGTATCGTCTAATTTATTAGAATGTTTGCGTGCCGCTCTGTCGCGTTATCATTTTACACATACGCGACATATGTCGCCACACGCGAGGATGGCAGCAAGAAAGAAATAGAGAGAGAGAGAGGGATCGCAGCATCTTCGCCGCGTCAAAGTCCGACACGCGGTTGACGAGATCGAGTGACAAATTTGCCGCTGGCCCCTTCGTCCATTTATAGCCGGTTATTAATTCCCCGGGCGCGATAAACAATTAATAAATAACCCCCGCCACGTGTTAACGCGTGTATCTCTCGTTTCGACATCCGGCAAAAAATGAGGGAATGGGAGAAATATAATAAAAGAACGGAACGCGGGTGAGAATTGAATTCTTCTCCCGCGTAATCGCGGAATTTGACGGCGCGAGCTACTAAATCCGGTGTTCCCCGATTTGCGGATGGAAGAAGTCCAATGCGAAGGCACACCTGAGGTCAGAGAGTAGTTTACGTCCTATAGAGGGGTAGGGCCGCCATTAAAACTAAATCCGAACACTGGTTTCCGCATCGAATGGCCGACCTGCGGAATCGCGAGTCCCTTCGGGAGAGGAGGGCTCGCATAAAATTCCGCTCGTAACCCGCCGCCTGATTGTTCCTAACTGCCCCGTATATCAGCCTCGATATTCATAGGAACCCATGAAAACATCCGGCTTCCATTCCGCGTCCCTTTTCCGTCCCTTCCGGCAGTTCCGCATCCGCGCGAGAGGATCATCCGCGGACACGGGGGTTGCTAATCCGGCCGCGATTTTCTTTCTTTTTTCGCTTAATGCCGGCCGCTTCCTCCGCCGTACCGAAGTCGACATCCGAGGTCATTGTTACCCAGATCGCCGGATAGAGTCAGTTTAGGCGGAGCTTTTGCGAGAATTCACATTTTTCTGTACTTACCCGTTGAAAGGGTAGCTGGCGAACGCCGCATCGTAGGGGTGGTAGACCGAGGGGTAGGGCCACGCCGCTGCGGCACCTGCTCCGAGGTTCTCCTTCAGCTCCAATCCTGCGGCCTGAAAGAATTTTAAAATTGCCTATTAATAAATATCCCGCGATACCAATATTTCGAAACATATTCTTAATTTACAGGGTAAGGAAAAAAAAAAGAAAACCAAAATTATGTTTCGTCCCACGATTTAATTTAATATTTATACATTCACGAGCTTCATCAATTGACAACTTGGATATTATTATTCTTTTTTTCTTAACCGTCCGGCATATTTCAGAGTTCTTTTCGAAAGGAGAGAAGAACGAGAAATCTTCGCGGCTGAGGAAATCCCACGCGCGTAACACGCATTGCGTGGACGTTTTCGCTTTCAGACGTTACGTTTTCACGCAACGTTCCGCATGTAGGGTGTTTACGGTTTCGCAAACTCTCCGTTGCGAAATGTTTAATGGACTCGTCCTTTGTGAACAACTAAAGCGCGGAAATCCGTTTTTTTTCTTTTTACCACCGACGTTTTCACGTCGCGCAATGTTGATCGTTATTCCCGCGCATCGGGCTCCAATTTTCATCCCGGGGTAATAAACGTTTCGGCGTTGAAATACGCGACACTTGAATTGTCCGAATATTACGGGAAACGACTCGAATTCGGATTAGCGGGGAATTTTTTTCACGGCATACCCGCGGTAGAGAATCGTTGAACACAGAAATAGATACGTCAGAGAGGTGTTACGTCGCCGCGTTTAATTTCAGGTTTTCAGCATTCCTTCCACCATCTTGGATCGGCGTAAAAAACTTAGCGCGTCGCGGAAAGCACCAACGCCGGTGATAAATTCATGGGGGAGATGATTTTACGAGAAAGGGAAAAAAATAGAAAAACAGGAAATTACTGCGCACGAGGGGGAAGAACTACCAGGGCTTGTTAACAACGGCGTTCACGAAGCAATATTAACGACGTTCACCGGCAACATTGCGCAATCCTCGAACGACACTTCGACGCGTTTTAGGGAGCGATAAGAATGACTCAGAAAATAATTTCAAGCTCATTAGAGGTTAGGCATCCGGGTCGGGAGAGGGTAAACAGAGTCTACGAGTGAGTTTCAATTTGTAGGGGGACAATCGTTAGGAGGATCGTTTGATTTAACGAAGAGCAAAGTCTCGCCGAAAGAAATGAACTTCATGGAGATAACGCGGGATATACCACTTCTGGCGTCGGTCTAGAGAGGACGAAGTGCCCCACGACGTATAACTTTGAGCGATAAGGAGTCTTTTTCCCTCCAAGTTTGAGCTTAATCTTCGATCATAAGTGTAGTCGTCGGATGACACCCACTCGAGGGCAGATAAAGAGCTAAATTCTTTCGTTAATAGAGAGTCGGTGGATCCCAGAGCCGTGGAAGAAAATAAGAAATGGCGGCTCGATAGGTGCCCGGCGAAAGTAAGGAAACCGACCGGTGGGGTCGTTATTTTCTCGAGTTTCTTGCGGAGGGTCAAAGAAAAAAATGGCGTCCCTTGTAAATGCCTTCCCAGGGAGATCCGACCGTTATAAATGCGGCTCGATTTGTCGACAAGGAGGGTTCGTCGGCTCCCCGTTAAATTTTCAGCCGTAAAATCGTATCGCGCGATTTCTTCGCGGTTGGCATAAGCCGGCAACGTCGACGCACCCGCCCGATTATAACGACAACGATAACGACGTGACAGTGCCCGCTGTCCGGTACGGCGGATTCATAAATTTAAACTTCGCGTCCTGTGTGGCCCGATAACCCCGAGATGCAGCCCGACGGTCATTGGGTTATTAACGCTCGCCGATATCATCTCGATTATTGTATAACGATATTACGTTGCCCTTCGACGACGAAGCATACCCGATCGGCCCGGAACGACCGAACCAATTGAGAGCGAGTGCCCAAAAACGAGACGTTCAATTGACCCCAGATCGAAAAAAGTCCCCTCTTATAAACCCTCAGTTTCGTGATCATCCTAACGAAATCGGCGAAAATAAAATAATTATCTGACTCAAATTTGGATAGATCGGATGCAACGTTTCCTCGGGATTGCGACAATTTATTGGAGTTCACTTGTGTTAAGGAATTATTTTTCTTGAATTAGTAAGATATTTCTTCGGTTCGATGAAAGGGGAGGAAAGAGAGAAAAAGGGTGAAAAACTCACCGTCGGCGTGTAGAAGGGCGCCTGCTCGGCCCCGAGACCCGGGAAGTAGGCGGCCATGCCCTCGGAAGCCGCCGCGGCGGCCGCGGCGGCGTAGGGGGCGCTGTACATGGAGAGCGCGGCAGTCGGGATGCCCCCCAGTCGCTGGTAGCCTCCGAGGAGCTCGTACTGACAGGAGCAGACGGTCTGCCCGGTCAGGGGGTCGGTGAAGATGGGCCTGCCGGTGTCGCAGCACCGTCCGCCGGGTCCGCCGGGCCCGCCGGAAGGGGGCCCATGGGGTTGGGACGGGCTGACGGAGGTCGTCGGACTCCCCGGGGGACGAATCACCGCGCTGGTCACCGCCATCCTTGCTCCTTGCAGTTGCGAGCCCAGCGACGAGGTCCCCACGGGACTTCCCAGGGACGAGGCGACGCTGCCGACGCTGATGATCGGCGCGACCGCCGAGGGCGAGGACGACGCTAGCGACGAGGTCACTGTCACAGGGCACTGAAAGCAGAACGAAAATCGTCGTTACATCCCCTTTCCAATGACCAATCGATACTTCATTCGTAACGGTAGAGATAACCGTTGTGACGTAATAAAAATCCCCCCAAACCCGTCGCCTAACCTGATTACCTATCCAAACTAAGAGGGTCTATTTAAACGTTTTACCAAAAATGATTTACAGTTTTCTTTTTTAAGCGAACCTCCCGCTAGTCGAGGAATTTATTTATTAAGCGGAAAGTGCTCTCGGGTGGAGGTAGTTCATTTCGTGCCGGTCCGGTCGGAGTGCACGGGAGAGTTTACAAAAAACGTTTGACGAACTTTGGGAATTTTGGGAGTGCCGAGGTGCACCCGACGCGCGGTGCAGCTGGCCCGAAAAACCGTCGCCCCTGTGGAGGTCGCTGCAACTGACGCCGGGACCCCTCTGGGGGCAGAGCCGCGAGGTCCGACCCATCATGGCGGGCCTCATTAATTCCATATCAAACACCACGGCTAAATAGATTAGCGGCTTGAGTGCCTTTCGCGTCGGCCTAAACAAACCCGGGCCAGGTTTTCTCGAAACGGCGTCGTCCATTGTGGATCCCCAAACATATTGTCGTTCCCGGCATTGTGCGCCGAGGGCCCGGCTGCGTGCGCTCGCATTATGGGACGCAGCGGCGTTAATGCGTGTCGCCGCTGCAAATTCGAGGGCCAACTGTCGTAGGACGTGCGAACGCGTCGCCCCGGCGAATCCGTCGAGTTAGTAGACAACGTTTACACGCCGTACCGTACACGGGGACACGTGTCGGGAAGCGTTTCCAGGTCGCCATTCTCGGACCGGAATTTGGGATATCGAAATTCATATCCAAGCGACACGCGTCGCGACGGATCGTGGATCATTCCTGATCCGCTTCTACCCGACGTATATTAACGATCGTATATACCGTGTGCGCGATATGACGTGCGGAAGGAGGGAATAAATTAACGAGAAAGTTCCCTCGTGCAGCGTCGAGGGCGTCTCGCGGAAGACAAGATGGCCGCGGCCAGGCCCGCGACGGCCGCGTCCGTAATTTGCTCTACCTTGCCCCCTGGACATGAATTAACGTTCCCAACGACTGTTCCCCGTTATCTAATTAGGGGCCGATAACTCCAAAGATGAAAGTGTTCACCCGGCAATAACCACCCCCGCGGTATCGCGGGGCCGAGTTATTTATGAAGAGGTTAGGGCCTAAATCAGGCGGTCCTCCATTTCGTGACCGGGCCGAGTTAGGGCAGAGTCCAGATAAGCGGTATCCAAAATGAAAACTCGTTTATTAACTTTCTACACGGGATGTGGAGCGCATTCGCGATTGATTAGATCACTCGAGGGAGCCCGAGGAAGCTCACTCGAGCTCGAGTTTCGAGGGACTTCAAAGGAACCAAGATGGCGAACCATGTTCCATCGACCAGTTACAATTTACCGTGCTTTTGCCCCCGGATTGTAAAATATCCTTTCGTAGGAATACCACGAACTCTCGTTACGCCTTTCCCTCGCAAATCGCGAACCCCCTATCTCTCCCCGACATGGTAAAAGGACGAAACTCGTTGCCAATCACCCCTCGAGTCATAATTCCAGGTAAATCCGCAGAAACTAATCATTCTAAATTCCTGCAGCCACGTTTCTCCATTTTCTCTGGAGCGCGGTTGCAATATATTTTGCAATCCATTAAATCTCCGACCGAAGCTGACCCGAGCGCGGGTTTGAAGAACTTCAAAGGAACCAAGATGGTGGCGCTCGGCGACCCGGGAAGGAAGTCGCGGCTGGGATCCTTGTTCCATTGACTCGGCACAATTTGGCGCGTGTAGAAGACCGGATTGTAAAATATCCTCCGGCAAGAATGTCGGGGAGGACCCGGAGGACCTCTAGGTTCTCCAAGGGAGACCGTGATGTCTCTGCCTCGCTACCGGAGTATCTCCTCCGGTCTCTCACCGTCGGCGGGGTTAAACGACAAAGCTTGTTGCGAATGACCCCTCTGGCCATAACTCTCGGTGGACTCGCAAGAACTCGGCTGAGTTAAGCCTCGCGATTTCATCTAGCGTAGAGACGGTGCATCGTCGTCATCCTCTTCGGCGACCGTATCTCGCGGCGCCGACGACGCTACTCTCGCGGCTTTTAACGCGGCTAAAAACCAATAATTATTCTAATGAGTCCCGCCGACGTATCGCAACAGTCTCACCCGTACGTTCCCTGGAGCGAGGGATCCGCTAATTGCTTCTCACGGATTCTGAATGCAATTCTCGAGCGCTCGCCCGCCGGCGGAACGATGCACCGTTCAAGAAAAATCCACGGTGCATTTAGCCGGATAACGGATATCGAGCACACGACCCTGAGGAAGGAATCACCCGGCGACAAATACCGGGAATCCATCGTCCCGTCGCATCAAAATGACCGAGCGATACATGGAAGATCAATTGACAAATGGCCAATTATTATTGATCAATCCAACACGATACTCCCGAAATAATCACGGAGTGAGGGTAATTTATCTGGATAATTTATCTTAATCGAGGAATTAAGTGCAGGCGTTTCTGGAAATGGTTGCATCCCGAGGGCAACGAGGACGTCCCCGACGGCAGCTGCAAGAGGACGGTGCATGTGCATCCGTCAGGGGCGCGGACGAGCATCCGACCCTAAATGTGGGAAACGGAATTTTCTGGGTAACTCGAAAAACCCCTTAATGGTCCCGGGCGTTCCCTTGGGATTCACGGGAGTCCCCGTTGGCCTCTATTTTCGTGTCTTCGAGTTCCGAGTGGACGAGAACGCGTTTCGAGGCGGAAGGTTCCAAAAATGGAGGATCGAGGAACGTCCGGTGTGCGTTAACGAACGCGATATGGATCGTCCGAGCTAAGGGATATAGCGGCGGGTAAACCGGCGAGTGGAGACGAAGAATACACCCGGTATGCACACGAATCCCGGAGTTATGGCAGCGCTTGGGGCCGATCGAGTGGCTTACCACGCATGTTGGCAGACTGGAAATGCTACTTCAGCATCCCGGCGTCTCGCGACGTGGAAACATGCGTTCGCCGGCCAGTGGGATCCACCATACAGGAACGCACGCGCGTGCGTGCGGGAACCGCCAACGGGAACAACACACCTTCGCCTTTCTGCAGAATCCTCATAAATCAGGGCCCAGAGAAAAGTCCGGCGGTTACGTGCAAACACGCGCCGCGGCTCTAAGGAATCACTCCGGGAATGGGGAATAATTGTTGCGATCCCCTCCACCGGCCGAAAAATCGGCCCCCCGCCCAAAACCTCTTCCTCTCTCCCTCCTCGACAACGTTGATTCGAAACGTTTCCTCGCGGCTCGCGCCGTTATCGCGATAGGGAATATTCTTTGCGTCGGTCATCCGGAGAGGCTGATCGTTCCAGCTTCCGCCAGGATTCCCGGATCCGCGGGACACTTCGGAGAGTCGTTACCGTCGTTGAATATCCTCTCTCGGGAGGGCCGTTAATCCGCACGGGGGGCTCTTATCGCTTATTTATCGCGGAAAATTACTCGGTCCTGTGGTCTCGACTGGCCGGTTCACAATGGGTCCATTGACGGAATCGGAGCAAACGTTGCGCCGCGCGATCGGTACCGCATTTCGGCGCGTTTCCACGGATTCTGCACTACGAAGGACTCGTAATTCCCGAAAGCACTCGGTCGGTTATCCTGTGGACACAGATGCACCGCTGTTTGCGCCCCGGGCATTTGTCACTTGTGTCCCGCAGACCTCGGGAAAAGGCAAAAGGGACCGGTCCCTCTTTATGTGCCGATGATGCCCTCTTTGCAACGAGGCCCAGCCGAGTCAATATTGACTGCAGCCCAGATTGATGGACCTCCGTGTGTGTGCTCAGGCATCGCGGCACTTACTTACGTTCCCACCCAGTTCTTACCCACACGGGGTGGTTCGTGCGTTTCGACCGGCACGCACGCATCGTGCCGTCCTTCGTACAAATTTCGACTCGTCGATAGAAATCCCAGCTAATCCAACGAAAACGTCTAAGTCACTCCGAAACGGTTCCGATAATCCAGGAAATATCTTAAAACGCGCGGACGTTCGATCAGGTGGCTCTATCCGCAACCACTCTATTAATCGGTGCATTAAAGCCGCATTTAATTTAACCACGCACAAATTTCCGCATGAAAAAAGGATAGCTCGTCTAAAAAATCCTATTTCCGAGTTCTAAAGAGGATGACTTTTGAATTTTTTCAGAGACGTAGACGACTTGTCAGGCGTTTCCATCGACCACTTCACCGTCGAGTTTTTCGAACCTTAAAACCGAGTATAATTTAAAATTCATGGATATACATTCTTATCGATTGCGTAATAATATCCGAGTGGTAAAAAAAAGGAAAAATAGAATACCCGTTTTCTGGTTTTAAAAGCCGATTCAAAAAGTTTCTCAGAGTACGTCGAGTCAGGTGTCCTTATCGGCCGCCATTTCACCTTCGAGTTTTCAGAATGGAGCACTGCACCATCGTCGGGACGTCGTCGCTATCAGTCTCGCATCCGATATCGCGATTTCTCTGTAGTAGATAATAGTGGGTGGCAAATTATCAGAATCGCGGGGCAATCGATGCGACGGCTCATCCGGGAGCGTTGTCAATGTAACGAGAGGTGAATGAGATTACGTCAGGCTGCGTCGCAGTTTCGTCGACGGCCATTGTCCGTCGACGGGATTCGAGACGCGACGCCTAAACGGGCAAATCGGACTCCCCTTAAGCCACGTCAGCAAGCCTCTTCTCATCCGCGATTTCAAGGAACCGTTTGAACATTTTGTGCATTTTTTTTTTCGACCCCCAGGTGGATCTCGCAAGTGCAAACGATCTCGTCCCGGTGTGGCTCCCCGGGGAGACAATAATTTCCAGCGACAATCAAAGAGGCGAATCCGAGAGCGGGTATATCTGCGAATTCGTCATTGTGGTCCCGGAACCGCGTGGTACGCCGAATGCGGAGTTCCGCGAAATTCCGCGGGGCGTGAACGCGTGAAAAGTATAGAACCGAGCCCTCAGCTGTGCCGAGAGGTTATTGCGAAGTGAAACCGGAGTGCCGGAAGTCCCGTCGACACAACTGTCAACAAGCAACATTGTTCCGCCGGAGTGCTCGTGGCAACTCCTCAGTTGGTACCGTCGGGAGCCCTGGGCTTCGGGCGCGCGCGCGTGTGCGTGCGGGAGGGCGGCAAGCCGTGCTAGGCGAGAATCGCATGTGTGCCGTGAAATGGATGTACGCTTCGGAACTGCACACACCCCATCGGTGCGGGGCATACAATGCACCAAGGTACACCGCAGACGAGGCAAAGGTGAGAGGCGCAGAGATTAGTAGAAGCGAGCACAGGGTGGACGGGTGTGCGGGGTTCCGTGCGAGCCGGCGGTAAGAACGGGAGAATTTAGTAGCGGAAGAAGAACGCGCAATACGTGCCCCCCCCCTGTGCGTGTACGTGTGCGCGTGCATGCACTCGGAACGTTGCATCCACCGTGCATGCGTGCACCGTCCCCGCGAAGCGCCGTAAAAACGCCCCGCATTCCGCTCCTCGAGCTACACACGGAGATACACGCGTTCACCCACGGACGTCCACTTATGTGCAGTTCGACTTGTCATTTCCGTAGATCCGTCAGAATTCAACCCGACGACCGTCCCCCAGAACCCGAAAAGAAGAGCAAGAAAGGGACTCTGGGCGCGGTGGGATCGCGTGCACTCTTTGGATTTATCCGTGTGGGGGGTGATTCGGCGTATGGGTAATTAATAAATTCACCGGTAAACGGGCGGCATACCGCGGGGAACGTTCGCGCGGATGGAAGAGGTGCGTTTTCTGTCCGCGTCTACGTGGCGGGCAGGGTGGGGTGTACGTGTGTCCGTGGCATGCATCGTGCCCGGTGCATCGGGGGCTCAGGGAGAGGGACGCGTGGAACGCTCGCACACCCGTTCCCGGCACCTTCGTGGCACCTAAATACACCTCCGGTCACCTCCACACGGTTTCGCACACCTTCGCACACACCTCCGTGCAGAGGGTGAGGGCGGATCTGAGTCAGCGCGGTCGGATCGAGTCGCACCGAGTCAGCGAGTGAAACACTGCGCTAACTGCAGCCACTACTACACCAGATCGTATCGGAGGCGGTACGGCTCGATGTGCTAACTTGCAATAATGTGCCATTCATAATTTTTACACCTCCCGTCAATGAGCGGCCGCCGATGGCATCGCTAATGGGAAATCTTTGCCGGCCTCGCCAGTTAGGCCGGCGCCCGCTGTGAGGGTTACGGTCTTAATTGAGATGAGACAACTCGGACCTGGACCCAAAACGACGCAGCTCGGCAACTTCCTATTCGGAAAGCGGATTCACGGATTCATAAATTACGGTCTTTTTAAATCCCCAGTTCATAAATCCGTCCCTAAATCAAAATTAATATCACTAATTCGATCCACCCGAATTTGGGATGCTGGGAGGGTTATAATTTTAATTTAGAAGAGACACCCGGGCCCGGATCCAAAAGGTCGGAAATTCTCAGCTTCCTCCTCGGAGACAAATCGTGCAGGTTTTATAAATTCGTAAATTCGTTGATCCACGAATCTCCAGTCCCTAAATCGGTCCCTAGATCGACACTTAATATCGCGAACTGAATTTTTTTAATTTTTTGGTTATGATCAGCTCCCAGCCTCGTAGGTGTGTCGCCTGATCGGACGTCGCGTCGCGTCACCGCGCGCGTCGACAACATTCCACGGGGATATTAGCAATCTATATTCAAGAAAATAAATTAGACTCTTTTCCCCCACATAACCAACGTCGCCAGGAATAACTCCGCCTGATAATAACGTCCCCGACGGAATTGTCGCGATCGGTTCGTTAAGCCTTCCGATGGGTGACGATTTAATTATCCAGTATTTCGCGCGGCGTTTGCAGCGTGGAAAGAAACCAAACGATCGGATCGCTCGCATCGATTACGCAAATTATAGGAAACGTTCGGAAGCTCGAATTCGGGAAGTCACGAAGAGGGAACGGCTTCCAAGGAATCCCCACCTCGGGGTTCCGGTCCCGAAGGTACTTCTGAAACTCCCCGATATCTCCCACCGCGATATCAGCCGCGCGAGACGGGATCTGCTAAACTGCGCAATCAGCGGTCGTATCAATTAATTGCGATAGCGATCGCAACATGTATCGCACTCTAGTTAACGCAACGAGACCCTGGAGCCAGCTCGTCGGAACTCCGAGAATTTGCAATTTCCAATTGGCGACGCGAAATAGAATCCGGAAAATTAAGCCACGCCTGATAACGATTTCCCGCGGCCGATAACGGAGGGGAGGATAGCAAAATGGCGGATAAGAAGATCTCCGTTTCCAGTCGCGGCGTGGGATTAAAGGCGCGCGATTCGCCTACGATTTTATATATCGAGCGCACTTAAACGAGGCGGCGAAGGCACCGATATAGGAACCGATCGACCGGTTTGCGAAATTGAGACGACGGAAAACGCAATCGGCGTTTGCGCTGCCGTTGGCGACACGCAGCGCCGCCGCGCGGGCCGGGGCGACAGATAACGTGTTAATTCAGCGCAGTATTGCATTAACGCCGAGCAAGTTACGTCCGATTTAATGGAATGCATATCGCGATACCGGTCGATGCCGCCCGGTTGCGCACTTCTCCTTGATGCTCGGCGGACTGCACGCGAATTACAACTAATTAACACGGGATCGAGGCGGCGCGATCGCGGGGCGCAGCGCACGCGTGTGCGAGGGCGATCTAACCTCACTTGGCACGGACCCACCTCGCGATTCCTAACCCAATTGCACGGCAATCGAGAAACTCGCGCTTTGGCTCGATAACTTTCCCCAAAGAGGAGTACACTGGATTAAAAATACCGATTTGTCGATTTTTAAACGACGCAGAGGTCGATGAGAAACCGAGAATAATGAGAGGTTGTCGCGAGATTCCGCGATATTTCAAGAGGAGTTAGTCCAGATTTGACGAATTATGGTTTTTGGACGTGCCCAGGGAGAAGCTCGCCGACGAGTCGAAGCGAGCGCGGGTCACGTGGCAGGCGCGATTCGCTCCACCTTGCGTATTCGAGAGGTCGTTACTCGTCATCGCGGGTTTCGTTCGTCGACTTGGAAGCAGAGGCACTTGCGGAGCTCGTGATAGGACCCGGGTACGTGGTCGGGTTTCGTTTAGCGGGGCCGTGTCGCGCGGGAAATGGTAATTCCTTGATGTGCGCGTCCGCCAGACTTATCGCGAAGGATTTCCCGTGTGTACGTTATTAGCCGCAAACGCACCTGGAGAAACCCGATACTCGCCCACGATAAGTGCGCTTATGAGTGCGCTGCGAGCGGGTACGCGATGCGTTTACGGTGCTTTGTCGGGCGTAACGAGACATTATCGCGAAACAAGTATACTTCCATGAGCAAATAGCGACGGTAGAGGACACATCCACAATGTTTCGGGAAAATCGAGGATCCTGGCATCGTTCTCCTCGAAGTCGGGAGTTAAACCCGACCCAGAGTCCCTTTTGCGTCTTTCGTCCTCGAGGACCGATCCACGGGAGCAAGGGACGTTCGGACGTCCCAAGATGCGGCAAACTCGCCGCTTGTTAGCGGGCGGGATAATCGCTAGACTAATTGCCAGGTCACCGAGCATTTTGGAACGAGGTGTGCGGCTTTGGGGGAGCCGACACATGCCTGTGCGGCATGCTATACCAGGCGCAACCTATATGTCGACCCGTGCAACATGTCAGAACACACGTGGTTCGGTCCTGGCCCCGCCAGCGAGCATCGCAATTTTCGCGCGACTGCCCGAGCCCTCAATTCACGAAAACGAGGTGCGAAACGTACGCCCAATTACCGCGTTTCGAGTTTCCCCGCAAGGCAAAAAGTCATCCCTAGACCCGGGGCATCATTTCGGGACCCTAAGCGACTCTGCGTCCTCCACCGGAAGACTCTCATCCCACCTACCGCCTTGTTTAAAATCGACAACCGGCAACCCCTAGACCCAGCCCTCCTCTCCTTCATCTCGAGTACCGACAGAACGCAAGGAGTCGCCTCTACCGCGACTAAAATCCTAGTTTAAAAAATGGCAGATCCCCAGGCAGGCCCCTCGTGCCCTCGGCATTGATCCGCGGACTATCCGGGACATGCGGGGGGAGGGGATTTTAATTACACGAAGGTTCATGTCACGTAGGTTTCCGACACGGTAATTGGATGTCGCCGTTTAGTAAGAGGTTTCCCGGTGGCGGGGTGAAGGTATCGTGTGTTCTCCCGTCCGCCTAGCATCCATCTTTAAAGATGGCGAGACGATTCCCAGGCCGCCCCCCCCCGCTTACCTGCAAATTTGGCGATCCCCTGAAGGAGAACTGTGACATGATGTGTCGGCCGCCGAGGGCCGCGATCTTCGTTCTTCGCTACTTCGGCATCGTTTTCTGGAGCGATCACCACCGGCACGATCCATTCCGGCAACGGCACAACCCCCGTCGCATGGCGCGGACGTCGCCTCCCCTCGGGCCCGGCGTTGCCCAAGGTTTCATGAAGACTCGGCAAGAAGGCCGATCCGGTCCAGGTCCCGAGTCCTGCTCAGATGGCACCGAACACTACCACACCATTCGGATTTTCACGCCAGGCCAGGTGTCCCGGTCCGGGAGGACATCTTCGACTTCGAACTTCACTTCACTGCACATCGGGTCGGGACATCCGGGGAGATCCGACCATCGAGGCGATACGAGAAACGGCGGCCAATCCGTTCCGATGCACTCCGGACTTCAACTAGGGTTGATTCGTCCTCGATCCACCGGCCAAGACTATGCTCCCACCATCGACTCCGATCCGGATGGGGTCCCGTCGACGGTGGTTAGGAACCTCCAGCTGGGAGGTGGTGGGTTACCATCGATGGCATTCCCGGGAGGCCGGGACGAAAAGGACCCGAAGAAGATCCTATCCCCGGAGAGCGGGGGTCCGGTTGGGTCCCGTCCAGGTTACCGTCGGCAGCTCCCGGTCTTGGTCGTCGGGGCCAGGTGTCGAAACGACTGCCCGGTCGTCGAATCCTCGGCGGGCCGAGGTTCCTGGCCGCTGGCCGGGGATCCCGCAGGAGGTCGCCGTCGTAGATCCCGAGCGGCTCGGCAGCTATGATCGGTCGCGACTATCCCTCCGAATCGTTCGTTTCTTTTCGACGGGATCCAGTCGGGTCGGGCCGCGCAAGACGGCGGCGGCGAGGGGCGGAGAGGCGCGCGCCAGGAGAGCGAGAGGGCGCGCGTCGGGGAGGAGAAGGAGCGAAAGAGACGGGAGATGCCGGCGTGTCCGCGGCCCCGCGGCCGGAGGGAGTGCGCGCGCGGGCGGGCGCCGCGGGAGCGAGAGAGAGAGGGAGGGAGGGCGCCGGGAGGGGGGAGAGATAGGTTCGGGATAGGTAGGGAAAGCCGACGGGAGAGTACTCACCCGCCCGTCTCGCGGCGAAAGACTCGCGCTTCCCTCCGCAGGCTCCTCTCTCTCTTTCTATCCCTCTTCCCCTCTCCCTCCGCGTTTCCGGCAGGGTCCAGCGCCGGACTCGGCGTTCCACAGGTAGAGGTGATATCCCGACTCCCCCGGGAGTCGACGAATCACGCCGCACGCGCCTCGCCGATGGCGCCAAAGTACAAACTGAGAGCTAACCTAACTCCGCCGGACTCCGGGAGGGGGCGTAACTCCGGAGGCGCCCGTGCGGTTTCTCCGCTCCCCTCGTTTTTCCCCTCTTTCCCCGGCGCGGACGCACGTGTACGTACAGCGGGAACGCGGCGACGTGTGGGGAAGCGTCCACCGTGGCTACCGCTCGCCGGACCGGGTCTTCCTTCTCTCTTCCACGGTCTCACCTCCCGGTCGACCCGCGCCACCCCGCGTGCATCCTCCTCGGTAGGCAGAGCGCGGAGTCGGCTCCGTAAGCCCGTCGCCGGTCCTCGGCCGCGGCGCGGCCGGTGGTGGGGAGGCAGCGGTGGTGGTCGGCGGCGACGGTGGCGGCGCCACCGGCGTTTCTTTTCCTCTCTCGCTCCAAGGGGGCGATTTTTGCGAGGTGACGGCGTCCGTCCCCCTGCCGGGTGGGAGGGTCCAACGGGGCGGCGGTCGCGAGGCCGCAGGTGGGGACGGCGAGGCCGGCCGCGTCCCGTCGCGTCCGCTCCGGTCGGCGGCGGTCGGCGGCGGTCGGCGGCGGTCGCGACCCTTCCGGGGTCGGCGGTCTCGCGGAGAGGAGCCCGGCGGACGGCGCGAGGACGGGTTGGCCTCGGCGAGCGCGACGATAAAATATGGGGAGTCGAGCCTCCGGGAGCTCGCGCCACGCGGCGGTCCCCCTCCCTTGGGTCGTGCCCCCCTTCCCACCCGCCGCCCCGCCCCTCCGCCCATTCGACGGTTTCTTCCCTCTTCGTTCCGAGTTCGTTCGTCCTGGAGGGGCTAGCCCCGGCCCGGGTGGGGGCGACCCCTCGGTGGGGGAACGACTACACGACAATTTTAGTTCGATAGATCCCGAAGTTTAGCCTCGGCGGCGCTGCTTACTCGCCGCTCTGACTTCTTCCACCCGGTAGTTTGTTCGGCTCCCCCCGGTCGCCGCTGCCACCTCCTCGTGGACACGACCGCACACTCCGGCGCGATCCCCACCACCGGCGCGACATTCCACCTCTATCCGACACCCTCCGCCCGAGACGCCGACTATCCCTCCCCTGTCGCTACCTACGCGGACCTCGTCTCCCTTCCCTCCCGCCTCGTTATCCGCAACCTTGCCGACAGACCGAATTTACGATCGCCTTTCGACCCGGTCGGCCGGTTAAGAAATTTTCGGACGTCCGAAACGTCTTCCAGCAGTCGGACGTTGGATTCGGACGGGTCCGACGGAACCTTGGGCTTGGAGGGGCATGGGGTACGGGGACCCGGGCAGCTTCCGAGGTTACCTAGGTCCTGATCTTTGAATCCTAGGGGCACCTTCTTCCGGGAGACGAACCCGAAGGAGGCCCTGGATAACGTAATCCCGCGGAGAGGAAGAGCGTCTCGGTTCCTCGTCCCCGTCCGAGGGGGCGGACTGCGACTCAGCCTCCGGGGGGGCGGCGACCCCAGGTGGGGCGACGGCCGGGGGAACCGGTATCGTCTATTTTTCTCGCGACTATGCCCGCGTGCAGGAATCAACGTTCGTCCAGCTGCACTCCCCGGGTGGAGGTGCTCTAAGACGTGTGCGCGTGGCGTTCCCGTGTCCCTTCCCCTCACCCCCGTGGTATTTTCACGGGGGATATTACGGAGGGACTCGTACAACGCACACCCTCCGGAGGGTGGAACGGAGAGAGAAGAAGGGGTGCGCGGATAAATCCTCCTCCCTTCCACAGTTCTTTCCACTCCCACCCTCGCGCCCGGCGGGCTCGGTTTTTTCCCCTCCGTGGGCGCGGACGAGCCTCGCCCCGCCCAGCCCTCGCTCGCTACTCCCCGTCCGATTCCGAACGCCACTCACTCCGGAAGCTCCTCTCTCTTTCCCTCTAGCTATCGCCCGACGCCCCACTCCTGGCGTCCTCTCTCTCGCGCCCCTAGGACCTCCTCGCTGGCGCGACGGAGACAGACCGAGGCCGGGGGATGCGAGTAAACGACACACGCGGTACACACTGAGATGTGAAACATTAGTGTAACGTTTGTTAACACCGGGACCTACACACGGAGGGAGCCTGTGTTCCCGGAGCGGGTAGGACGTGTGTACTTGCGGTGCCCCCCCTCTCCGTGCCACTCCTTCGCCGTGCCGCAGGCCTTCCGAGAATGCGATACCGAATTTGTTCCCCGAAATGAAACATAGTTGCGCGCGGTACTATTCGGCGCGGCACGTTCGCTACATTTGTAACGCGATGCCTAGGTCCCCGGTATTTTTGGGTGGCTGACTGATGGCCGTTCGGATTTCGGGGAGACGTTTGGGCAGAGTAATTAAAATCTGGTCAGCTAGTTACGATACCTTTCAGATGCGGCAGACGAGATGGCGGGTTCGAGATCGCTTGGCTGGACATCGAAGATAAAACTAAGGACCCTGACTGTGGATCGGGCCGATTCTGGCGGTTTTGAATTTGAGGTTGAGTTTGTTTTTCTTTGAGGTTGTATCGAGGCCATGGTTGGAATAGACTCGTAGAGATGTAATGGGCCTGTTTGGTAAAAGCCAATCACTTGGGCACAAGGTCGCCGGTGAAACCCCACACAGGTGGCAGCACGGCTCGAGCGCGGTCGGCGGCGGTCGGAGCCTCGGAGGGCGCCGTTCGAGCCCACGGTCGGCGGCGGAGTGGGGACGATACGCGGAGTGGGGACGTCGGGACTCCCACTCCGACGCCCGACTTCCCTCGCCACTCGCCCTGCCCGCGTCCGGTGGGAGGGGGCCGCGGAGAGGGGGATACCCCACCGTGTTTCCGCCACGGTGTTGGCAGTGCGAATACGCGCGCGTGACAGCGCTTCGACAGGTTCGCGGGGAGTGAGAGATTTTCTAATAATTCGTAGGTGCAACGAGGAAAGAACTCGCTACTGCGTCCGGGTAAAAGGTTCGCCCGGCTCACGCCAGAGCGCGCCATCGGGCGGAGCGGAGCGCACGCGCGCCACCTTGCCGATTAATTGGACACCCCGAGGACGGCCGAGTTGACGCCTCGATTTTACGCAAGTTACCCTGGCGCCGACAGTCCGCAGGGGATGGCACACCTGGGGCGGCTTGAGTGCGGTCCACGAGGAGCTGCTATCGTACCTGTGCCCGAGGGACTTTAAAGGGAAATTCCCAAACATTTCATTTCTAAACCACGCATTGCCATGTCGATTCGGTCTAACCCGGGACTTGTGTTGATTTTCATTTACCACGGACAAGCTGACCCGATTTCACGGGAGTTACTCCCCGACAGGGGCGGGTACACCTGGGCGGCTTAAGTGCGGTTCACGGTCCCGAAGAGCCGCAACGATTCACCCCTAAATATGATGTATAATTACGATAGTTAAGTTTTATTTATCACCCACTCTTAAGGGGGACGGGGAGTAGGACCGTGTTTATGGTTTTCTTTTGCCCGCCTGGTGATTGGTTTTTACGGGGGTTTCGACGAGATCCGGGGTGAAGTGCCGCATGTCCATGGGAGAGGAAGTGACGCGACGATGACGAGTTTTCCCGCATTGGGACCAGGGTAATGGGCTTCTTGGTCTATGGTGTTTAGGACGCGCGTTATGGCATTGCCGGGTGGACGTGATTTATGGGGTCGATTACTCTTTCGGCCCCATTAATCGATTATTCATAACGCGCTTCTTCAAGCTCTGAAAGGCGTGCTCCTCCGCGCTTGTAGGGCAAACTTTACGAGCGGTTTGGCATAATTCCAGGATTCCGCGGAACAAGGAGGGAGGAAAGTCTAATTAACGAGACACATCTCCGAGCCCGAGGGTCGTGTTCAAGTTTTTTAGGCTAACGTTTCTGTACAATTCGAGGTGCTTCGCGATTATCGTATCATTAGGGTGTACGTAAGTTATTATTACCGGACCACGTGGCTCGACGTGTATATATCGCATGCCAGCGTATATCTAGATGTAAATAGTAGGCTCTAACCTAGCTGTAATGTAATAAAATGCATTTCCACCGTTACGAGGAGAACCCTTAGGGGTTTAGCATGTTCTTCCGAATTATCGATTGCGCAAGTAAAGCGTCAATTATTTTATGGACCCGATTGTGATAAGCGCTCGTCACGTGAGCCTGCACCTTCGTAAATATCGGGTTAGCCTCGGGAAATTGATACAATTTTGCGTTTTCCTACTAATTGCGCCCATTTAGCGCTACGCCGATGTCGGGATATAATGCAATGTAATACTGGCGTTGCACAATTTGCGTAATCTAACGCAGCGATCGAGCAAATGTATCCGATGCAGAACTTCATCGACATGCGAGGCCCCCGTGTACGATCGATGTTCTCCGCGCGACAAATGTAAAATCCTACGCTAAAACCGTGCATATCCATTAACTCCCGACATGGCTAAATCATACATGATAAATAGTGCGCAAATCGCATAATCGCGACGTCCCGGAATCCCTCCTCGAATCACGCGCGGCGCTTTCATCGGGGAAATTGGAAGAACTCCATTATCCTCTCGGAGAAGTGACGTAAAAAAATGTGCGGAATTTTTACGCCTGCAGATTTCCTCCCCGGGCGATTCCGTACCCTCTCTACAATCATACAGTTCTTCGCTAAATTGAAATTAACTTGCCGAAAGTGGTCGAATCACGCCTGATAAATGATTCGAAGGAATAATCGCAGCGTCGAGTCATGCTCGATGAGTAAATGAAAAACATATGTTAGGTATTTGCAATAGTAACA